CAGCTGGTCAGAGAGAAGAAGTAGTAGGCATAACAAGAATTGTATAAGTATGACCATCAGGAGCTTTCTCGCAAGTTACGTAGTTGCCTATAGCCGAGGCGTCCATAGGCAGTTTAGTATCTTTCTCGCCTTCCTGAGTATAACAGCAATTACTAGGGCGGAAGTTATCCTAATCCACTTACAGTGTTTTTGGATACTCCCAACATTTGACGAAACACGTTACGACGCTTAGCCTGAGACTCTGCCGCAGCGGCACTAAGACAGTCAATTGAGTAAGTAAGCTTCCTGTGATCTACACTATTACTTCGCCTTTTCTAATTTCATCTTCCTCTTCTGCCTGAGGTCCTCTTTAACGACTCTTATCATCTCCTCAGTAGTAGGGGTGAGATGGCATGACATATGGCGTCGATCTGTGCCGAAACTCATCTTACCGTTGAAGTTCTTCACGGCCAATTCCGCACCTATACATCATCATACACAGGGAAGTTACCAATGACGACAGCTGTGTGGGGGAAAATATGCACATGGTCAACCATATGTGTTGGTGAAAATTCTGAGGAAGTTTCGGGAAATTCTCATTGATTCCTGTACTTCAATAATCAGTGAGGAAACGCCGGGGGTTAGCTGAGAAAAGCAAACATATATTCCTCCAACAGTGAAGAACAGACTCCCCCACAACCACTACTTTTCCATGTGAAGTAATCAACATACATGACGTCTCCAGATGCCCCCCTGCCTCGACCAAAGCGCAAGTCCTTAACCTCGCCATACTTGTTCAACACACCGTCCGATAAAAGGTCATCTGAATAGGTAATCACGATACTCATTCAAGTCCACTGATTCGGTGATGTGAGACCTCCTGGCGTTTTCAAAGTAAGTACCTCTAGTGATTTGCCTCGGTATAGGTCGTATGGCAACAGTGTACGGTCCAGCTTTAGCGATAGCCAGAGTGGTCATCGGCTCGCGCTTGCTGGTCCTCGATTCACTGGATGACGTCACGCTAGATGGTGATAGTAATAAGAAGGTTACTCAATAGGAAGCTTCATCGTTGCTCGACAGAGTTCGTCATTGCCAAACTCATAACGCAGCAGCCCTACATATAACAGTGAAACGTTAACTCCTGCTAAGCGGCCTCTGAAGTCTGCGGAGATGTGCTTTTTCCATCATCAATATTTTGTTGTTCACCATCTGCTGCTGCCTTGTCCATCACGTCCACACTAGTGTGTTTATAGTAGCTTACCATAGACTCTGTAGAAGTATCCCCAACAAGTAGAGTGGCATCAGGCTGAAAGAGTATGCGGCCACTAGTAGCTTGGAAGAGGCAACCAGTGCTTCTATCTACACATAGCAAGAGACTACCAACCAGACAGAGAGATTGTATAGGCCTGCCAGTATCAAGTGGACATACTGTAATCTCAGCTCCCGTCTCAGGGGCACCAGGGAGACCTAGTGTGACCACAACGGTGGGACTATTCTCGCAAACATAGTATATCTTATCGCAGGTATAGTCATAAGCAGAGCAAGCTATTACCGCACGCTTGCTAGTAGGATCAACATGGAAGGCTGCTCCAACCTGTTGCCCTGTAGAGAGCGACCACCTCCTAATGGTACCATCCGCAGAGGTCGAGATCACCTGCTCGTATTGAGGACTGTAATGCAGGGCAGAGACGTATTCAGTGTGGCCCAACATAAAGGCGTGTATGACTTGGTAAGACGGATACAACGACATACGTATTTTCTCGTCGCGATCAGCGGTGAACAGATACCCATGGGTCTGAATGCATTCCATAGCAGTCACTACAGCAAGGTGACCAAAGAGTAGTTCAGCACACCCCTGAGCCTCTGGTTCCATCGAGTTAGGCGGGGCCTGGGCGAACTCGATGTGTCGTGGCTCTCCAATCTGGCTAGTGGTCTCTACTGGTGTGAGCCTCCACACTTCGCCATATTTATCACCAATAATCAGTCGACCATCAGGATCGAACACTGCTGTTGTTATCTTCTTACGATGAGTGTACCGAGCCAGGACATGTTCGAAGCCTTCGTCCCAGAGAATCACCTGAGATAGTTCAAGTCCATTGGAATGTGTTACAAGCATAGTACCTGTTTGTCATCTCCCGCAGTAGACCACAATCCTCTATTAGAATGCGCAATAGCCCTTACGGTATCAGTGTGCTCTCCATCAACCATCTTACCACGTCGGGTATTGGTAGCATATCTAAATACGTGTTTGCCCACTGCCCAGACCACAACCTCTCCACTGCTCATCGCAGGGGATACGCATTGCAAGAGGGACGGATGCTGAAGACTGGTCGATGCTTCACCACCGGGATCGGCCATTGCCCAGGAATGTTAAGCTGATTAACTAACTGTCTTATTCTGAGCTTGGTCTGAACATACTTGCTTGCGCACTCAGTTCTATCGGCGTGCGCTTTTTGCTGCAATAACGCGCTAGCCATACTAATCGATAACGCATAGCGTATAGATAAACCTACATTGACCAAAATGAATAGTTCATTATGAATTGATGAAGCTCATGATGACCATATGATTATCAGAGAGGACCTTATGTTCCTCATGTTGATGTACATTTTAATTGATAGGAAGAGTCTGAAGTATATATGAATCGTATAGGCTGATGAGATACCTCACTGAAGTTTCCTAATGAGGAACAACAGAAAACATCGATCACCAAATACTGACAACAGACTTGTGTGCTACCTGTGAGGACCTCATTACTCAGAATGTCTCTTGATGACTTCAAACTCAATCACCAAATAAACTACTGAGGCTATGAATGTTATTGTGCTTGCAATGATGATCAACTACAGCTCTGGGGAGAACCAGGCCAAAGGCCTTGTGTGACCTCAACAACAAATTTCCAATTGATACTCCTGATGCACACAGTAATGACTCAGGAAGATCTTGACTAGTCCGCTTCGTTCGCTACTGGGTCCTTGAGAAACAGTCGTTGTCCAACGCGAATTAATCTAGATGGCGGTATATCATTTCAGAGAGGATTGCTCTCCTGATCGACGGCGCCGCTGTGGAATGTGACCGTGAAATTCACGGCGTGAATTCGTTCACTATTTTGTAACGATGCTCACTCGCATATCCCTGGTTGAGCTTGATCCGGAAGATTATCGCGAAGAAGGACTAGAGCAGCTCTAGGTCTGAAGCATCTCGACGTCGGATCGATGCCCTCGGTTGACTCGGATACCTGAACTTCCTTCACATGTCACATCTATCCGTAGCCTGTGGCGAGCTCTATGACGAGGTGACTACACTTCCATTACCGCAGTGCTCGATACTGTTGACCCTACCTCACGACCGAGGAATCTGACGTCAGGTGGTCGATTGGAAAGATATTCGTAGAGTAGCAGATGTTGGCAGATTCGCTCGTCAAACGATTCAGACGCCTTTTAATAGTAGATTGCTTGCTGACTCCTCTACCACTTAATGATTCGGTCCATCACCGGATTTGAGACCGTTGTCTATCGCATGAGGCCAGAACCAAGTGAACTATTTTACATAAACACTGTGAGGTTCACACTGCACACCCATGTCTTATAACAAAAATGCCCGTGGTAGAACTTCACGCACCTCGACCGAACTGCAAACACAATATGTCCATATGGAGAAACGCACCACGTTATCCATCGGCCATTCCGACAAAGAGCCGATCAAGCACAGAGATCATTGATGAAGAGCTGCTTGGATTTTCTCACATTCTCTACCATTCTGGTGTATTGAGGGCGCAACGTTTCAACGTCAACCGGGAAGGCCCTCGAACCAAAGCCGTAGGACTGAGGAGGGTTCCAATTGTCAACATGACGGATACCGGACCAAAGGGCTAGATGATTAAACAAGCACCATATAGGGCATTCGTTGTCGTTGGCTTGTCTATCATGCCACAGCTCAAGGTAGCCGCCATACTTAGGCAGGAACGTAACGTAAGTGGCCCCAGCACCATGGGAGGTTACGAGTATGTCACTATGCGCGACCGTAGCTATTTGGTCGCGAAGACTCAGAGTGGCGATATCTATTGCCGAGACAGAGACATGGGCACTCCTCTCGAGCATGCTTATCAACTCGGCTTCGTTCTGAACCTGCGTTGCTGTGGATTTGACTCTGCAACTATCGTGTCTTGCTAACACTCACCTGTCTGGTCACGTGTCCTCGCCGAGCTAGGAAGAGCACTCTCAGTGTCCCGATTTCCACGGGGGTGTCGAGGAGTCTGTAATGTGATAGTATTGTGTAGACAAGTCCGATAGGAGCTGTCAGGGGATGTGTACAGCCTGAGAAAGTCCATACCAAATGCCTGCACGGTGGAAGCCTCTACAGAGAGGTGTTCAAGTCCTTTGGTCGAATTAGATCAACGGACAGCATTATAGACCCACCCAGACTCACGGATGGCGACTTCGTAATGCGTTGCTTGGAATGGCGTATTATGCATCGAAGGGGCGACCACGACGGGGCCCTTCAGTAGTAGGGCATCATCACGAATGTCGCTAAGGGTCAGAACCTTCCCCGCGAGAGCAGTGACCAGCTCAGTGTGCCACACTGGTACGTTATTATCAAGGAAGATGACTCTAACATCAGGTCCTGGCTTTATACCAAAGACCATAAGAGCTTGGTATACGTTCAGATAGTGCATATAACTATGCCACAGATTCTTATCTTCTCTCTTGCCATTACTCTCTCGCCAAGTCAGTACTGTCGGACCCTCTAAAACTCTCGCGGTCGGCTCCGAGACCCCTGACCAATCAGCTGACTCAACGAAGTCCCTCACATAGTTGCCTGTGAAGAGATTCTCATAGTCAATATTCGACGCCCGCTTTTCACACTGGCCCGAGAGGAAGCCGGGCTGATAAGTGAAATAGGCATCCGGAGACCCGCTCATCCACGCCCTATTTTTTAGGCGGAAACTCTTCTGGGCAAGTTTTGGTTTCAACTGTAGGTTCTGTCCCCAGCACAGATTTGCGTTGTCGGCTGCTACCGGGTGGAATGGGTTATTGGATATCGTGCAGTAAAACTTGGTGGTCGCACCATCACAAAGTCGATATGCTCCGGTGAGAAGTTATCGTAGTAGTTCGTATCGATATAGTCACAATCGGATCCCGTGGTTGGCCTTCGTATAGTGCCGTGGTCAGCTGGGGGTGAATACTTGCTCGAGTGTCACCGCTCTACCACACTTCTCACTGGTGCCTGTCTTGTTGTATTGGGGTTGCACTATAGACCTGAAAGTCGTATCAGCATCCAGGCAGGGACGCACTCCAACTGGCATTTCATTCGAGCAGCAGTTGTAGTGCGGATTTCGACGTTCACAACTTTCGGGTCTAGTAAGTGTTAGCATCTACATGTTTGAGGCGAGATGGTGGATTTGAGGTGAGACTATATTTCATTGTAACGGGGTCCCCTTTCGGGGTCCTCGGACTCGGTTAGCGTGTGGGCGGCTGAGAGGCCGATCGACCGAGCCGCATCCAAGTAGTGGTAAGAGGAGGAGGTGAGATGACGACCCCACCTCGGCATCATATGAGAACTCTCTGATGGACACTTCAAATAGGAGAAGACGTCCCCACCGTTACCTGTGAGGCAAAGGCGTCATTATAGAGGACGAGTTCACCTACCAGTTGCTTTCCGCTGGGGCTTGGCTGTTTCTTTAACATAACATCTGTCCCCCTCCGCATACCGTGTGCATTGGACACCCATACAACGAGTGTTGAGATTAGAGCAATGATGTATGGCTGCCTGAAACACCCGTGAGCTACAATTGTCTCTAATCGTCCTTTAACGACTATAATTACTTCCAAGGGAAACCATCTATGGTCCCTCTCACAATTGGAGGAATAACACCACAACGCATTGGCACCAGCAAGCGCGGTGGAGTTCAACCTTTTGAATCTGTTGGAGTCCCTATAGAGTAGCCAAGCAATCCGTGCACGAGCCCACCGTTGGCCCCTAGGCCCTGTTATCATTATAGTGTCATCACGGTCTTCAGAGCATCCCATATCCTCCGTAACAGAATGCCTATAATCTATGCATCCATCGCACGCGCAATGTAGTGGGGTCGAACCACACCTATAAGGCATGCATGGAGCAGCCCAACTCTGCAGCCATGAGATTCGTTTACCATCCTGCAGCTGAACAGCATGGGAAGGCTCCGGAAGAATCACACTTCCTCCCTCCCCATCCATCGCCGCATCTCAGGTCTCTGCCTGTTGCGGTCTCCGTCTCTCGTCGCGATTCTCCTGTAGTGGCCTTATACGGGGATTCACGTGTAGAGAAGGCCGATGCAGCCTCTATGAAGGGTACTTCTACTCGATCATCAGTATCTACTGAATGTGCTCTTTCAGAAGGACGTCGATTAAGCGCACCTTCCATAAATATAACTGCCGTTTTCCTCGCCAAGGACGCAGCCGTTCGAAGGTGGGCCGAAGCCTCTTCCAATGGCTGGTTCAATTCAATGCGGCCAAGGAACCATATATTGATGGACCCCAGCCCTAGTATGATGATGAGCGATAGAACGACGTCGCTGCTGGCCATGTTGATGTAAATATGCTTGAGATGAAAAGTGGTTCGCCTCCTCTGTCGATTGTTGCTATGGAGTTTCGGTACAAGATTAAATTGACCCCACAAAACTATGTTTCGAGGAAGGCATCATCATTCGTCTAACCTCGTGATACGATGGTCCTTGGCTCCGGATAGATCCACGAGTCAGCGGTTCACCATCGTGACGGAGATCATATCCTTCAGCGATGCTCGCGAAAACCTTCGACACATTAGAACCTATTCTAACGTGAGAATAGATTCTGATGTGTCCAACGTTCTAATGCGTCGTGATAGTCTAACATCAAACGCAAAGCAGAGACGTCATTCGAAGCAACATTGATAGCATTCCATGGACTTATTCATTGAGAGGGGTATCACATTATTAGTGTACAAGTGGACACATACATGCAGGAAGGGAACATTAAATGTACTCATGCAGGTCAACTCTTTGCCGATCTATCCACCCCCAGCCGGGCCACAGCAGAAGCACCAGGGGAACCCGCGACGGTGGTGAACCTACACCCAGATAAGGCACTCTCACATGGTATCGATACCTACCGAACCATGCTTGGGAGTGTCTGTAGGTGACGGCACGATGATAACAGTTGTTCTTCTCTCATCCACTTGACTGCTTTCACCGTCTTGGGTATCTTTCAATGACCTGCTCCCCATAGAGGTTGTGGCTCTCGAGAGAGAGCGTCTCAAATCAGGCAGTTTCCCCGCGGCAACGACTTTAGCTAGCTTGCGGGGATCGGGCATACGATCAGGAGTCAGTGTGAATCTCGGGAATCGCAGGTCCTGCCCTTAAGCATGCAAGTCCTCCACAATATTCTCCCCACCTTGTCAGTGTCATGAATAGTATTGGACTTAGCCCGAGGCAGAGGTGAGCCATTGCAACTGAATCGACCAGCCGTGGTGATAAGCAACGGTCAACACTGTTACTTGAATCGAGTGGTCCGTGGCGTAACACGTGGTGGCGAAGAGTCAGAGAGTGAGTCCGTCGATACACTAGCACGTCGAATGATAGGCACGAGAGGCGACTCAGCACGATGCTGCACATCCTAGCACATGATCATATTAATTCGAACAATATGGGAAGATCTCTTCACCCAATCAATTGACTCGAAGAGAGCCGCGTCCTTGAGCTTGTCAAAGTCGAGACGACTCTTCTCCCACCTGCTCACTAATGAGAGAACCGAACCAAGTTGACACATCCCCTACGTCAGAAGGCCCACGAGCACATCCTTGCACTCTTCGGACAGCCTGAGGTTACTAGTTGCCTTCTTTGGGGGTATTCTCAGATAAAGAGGGAAGGCATAGATCTTGTCATGGCAAGTTACTGAACACCAAGTAAGGTGATTCAACCTCGAATGCCGCAGGTCCTACACCCATCAGGGCTCTTCCGGAAGGGCACATCCTTATACAGCATCTCGAAGAATATGATGCCGACCGCCCACAGGTCACACAAGTGTGTATACGAACCTGAGCTAAGAATAAGGCAACTCAGTAGTCGTCAACCTTATCTCGTATCATCTCGGGGCTCATATACAGTGGAGTGCCGCATCGCTCCTCCAGTTTGCCTGAAGACTCCTAAGACAATGAGCATCGACAAGAGTACTCCTTCATCTCGGACCGGCAGACCATCTATCTCGGCACATAGACCAAAGTCCAGCAGCTTTAAATGACCATCCTCTGTGATGACGACATTCTCGGGCTTAACGTCACGATGTGTGAAACCCAACCGATGTACCTGCGGGGTACCAGTGTTGAGAACAATGCAAGGAACTCAGCTGACCATACCGCGTCCACTCCCAACAGAATCTCTGATATACAAAACTTGGCCAAATCCACAGAGGTAAAGGCATCCTTATTGCTGTGCATGAGATGTCTCAGTGAACCAGCAGGTACCTGAATACACTATAGCCGAGCAGTCGCTGAGCTCAAGCACCGACCAGCTCCGACAGCATATACAGGTTATTCCTGTCCTGGAATGCCGCATACAGTGTGACTATCATAGGGCTATGGGTGCCTTTCAGCAACGCCTCCCTCTCAGCCATCACTTGTAAAGAACCATTCTTATAACGGTAGTAATTCTTGGGGAGAACTTTCAGGGCGAATTCCCTACCACAAGTAGAGTACTTTGAATCAAATTAACCTTCAGCCTACTTGGGTGGTCTTTCACTCGAGGATGACGATGATGATGATGCCTCTCCAACACCGTCCGGTCCAGCATCCAGAATAGCCCGTTCAACATTCTTATCATGAAGAGTAACTCTAAACACTTTACCGTAGCTGCCACATCCCAAATTGTCGATCACCTAGTAGGAGTACTATTCGATAGACACGAGGCGGCGGCCCGGTTGCTCACATCAAAGCTATCAGTGTTCAAACGGATGCGCCTTCTCCTGAGCCAGAGGTTGGTCTGTCCACGTATAACCTCAAGGAGCTCGTCATCTTCATACGTCCTCGGGGTGGGTGTAGAGTCGTCTTGCTGTTGCAACTCCTCAGCGACGATACTAGGGGCCTATAACACCATCACAGTCCATAGATCCTTCCCTTGCATATCGAAGAAAAACCCGTTTAACGTGAAGTGACGTAATACTCCATGTAAATCATAAGACGTATATGTTTCTGCGAACACCGATAACACAATTGTTTCCTGCGAAGTGAATTGTGAAATATCTTTTTCACTAGTGTTTTTCATATCACGGGTGAAACTCCATGAATACTACTGCTCCCACTAGCCTACCCGTTGGAGCTCCTCGAGCCTCTCCAGCTCCTCCATCCTCTCCCTGTCCTGCTTTTCCATGGCTACTTTGTACATATCCATCTTTTGCCGTGATGACCGTATCGCTGCTGTAGTCGGACTACTACTACGGGTGTCTGCATTCTTTCGACCCATTACTGCTGCTGCCCTTGAAAAACTACTGCTATTGAGTGGTTCATACGAGGTTGCTCCGCCAAAGTACCGCCCGTGCCTCTCTCTCTTAGTACATTCAGTTACTATCATACTATTTCCCTCTACTATGAGACCGTTGCTCAGTTATCGCTGATACACACATGAGTTTGCTATCG